GCTGCGGGCTCCGGGCCTGCCCCGCCCGCGCACCCTCTTCCCATCCTGGCTGCAGACCTGGCTCCCTGGAAGTCACGCGTTCTCTGAGACAGAGCGAAAGTAAGTCCCCATCGCCACCAGGCAGCCGTATTTAGCTTTCCGTCCTCGGGCCGCCGGAAAGGAACAAGCGCTGACATCCACAGGCCAGGAGAGGACCCACCAAGTACCCTAAATTCAGAGCTCAGCTGGCCGGACCACCCAGGCCTCCACAGTCACATCAGCGTTGTCTTTGCGTGAAGCCTAATTGTGACCTTAATCTCTTGCAGCTGGGAGTTGCCATCCCAACCAGAATGGGTTTGGGGCAGCAACGAGCCCTTGGTGAAGGTTGGGAAGTAACCGACAGCCCACGGAGCAAGTTTTCGCTGACACTACACCCTGTCGGTGAAGCCCACCGACAGGCAGCGCGAGCGTGCCTGAGCCCTGCCTGACTTGGGGAGAAAAACGCTCAGCGCTACCAGAACTGGTGCCAACCTGCAGGTGAACTGCCCTTGGCTTTCTAAGACCAGTCCCCTCTGCTCCGGGAAGCCAGATCTCACTGGCCCCTCTTTTTCTCCCTTGGCTTTTGCTTCCTTCGCGGGGCGTTGCTTGCCTGGCATCTCTGAGACTGAGCCCTTCCCTGGGACACCCTGGAACTATCGTCTTCAAAGGGAGCAATTGGGTGGCGATGTTGCCAAGGGGCGTGCGTTCTGGTTCCCAATCACCTCACTTCCGTTGGACACAGCTTGAGTGGGGCTAGACCAATCTAGACCTCAATGAACTATGGACTATGGACCGAGGCGTTCTGTACCAATTTCAGGGGAGCTGAAGGCCCAACTTGGGGAAGATGACCTTAAACTAAAACATTGACTCTCGTTCAAATCCCAGAGCAGCAGCAGCCAGAGGGTGCGCAGTGACATTTGTCGAGTATCTGCAATGTGCCGCGTACTTTCTCGAAAATCACGGCAGTGGAATGGATTCTGAGTCATTGTGTCTGCATGCAAGGTAGCATTGTGCTCGGTGCGGTGTTTCAATGACGGATTTTTCAGAAGGAGCTAGGTAGCCAGGCCTTTCTTCCGCAGCACCTCTGGGTGGGCTCAAACCTCCAACGCATCCATTAGCAGCTGAGGAGCTAAACCATCTAAACCAGCTGCTAAACCATCCCTGGCCTTACCTAGGGACTTCAGACATTTCCTAGTTATCCTAAACAAATCCTCTCAACATCTCTAAAGTGAACGTCCCTGTTCCCATTTCCCAGAGGAGGAACCTGTGAGGTGAAGTCACTTCCCAAAGTCACGGCGCTAGGAAGCAGCACAGAAAGTTCCGAAGGTGAAGCACCCAGGTAGCAAAGCTATGAAACCTCGTGTCCCATCCCCACCGTGCTGCAAATGAGACACAAACGGCTAGTGAGAAAAAAGAACCGCGAGTCCAGGTCAGGAGGAAGCATAATCTTCAGGAGGGAGAAAAGTCGCACACGGCCAGACTCAGCTCCCAAAGAACGGAGCTCAGTGGCTGACGATGCGGAAGAAAAGCAGGCAAAGCATTCTGACCGGAGGCTCGGTCACATTTGAAGTCATCTTTCCTAGAAGTCTTTACTTTGCTGGGAGCCCTTTTCCATGGAGCGTTGTATTGAATTTGAATACCCACCTTCGACATGAAGTCCAGGCAAAGGAGGCCCACATTCTGGAAGACTCTAGAATTAAGGGTGAAGGTGCAAGGACGGAGTTTCCAGTGAGAAAGACCGTAGGAAACCAATTTTGACT